ATTGAGCTCATACATATGTGTACCGAGTTTGGTGAAGATATCTCATTCCGTTCAAGAGTTATAGCTAAAATAACATTTGGCTAACGTTAGCATAGACGCTTTTTGGGGAACGGTTTCGCGCAACAATCGAAATTTCAACTTTTTTTTGATAATTATTGATATTCAATGTCCACCGAATATTTTTGCAGTGGTTTGGTTCCGATCAGGCGAAAAACCTAGGACTAGTTCGCAAAAGTAAGTTTGGGATATAGGTCAATTTTACGGAAAAACCGTGCGTCCTAGAGAAAATCTGAGTGGCTCCACTGCATGATCAGTTTTAGGGGAGAAGAATAATATTAAAAAAAAATAAAAAATCCTAACAATTACAATAGGGTTTCAGCACTGCGTGCTTGAACCCCTAATAAATGAAGTTGAAAGGTGGTCAGTAGATTGGGGATTGAAGTTTTCAGTATCAAAGACTCAATATATGGTTTTTACAAAGAAAAAGAAAAAGGAACAAATTACTCTGAAATTATATGAACAATTGATAGAAAGAGTGACAGAGTTCAAATATCTTGGATTAATCTTTGATGAAAAATTTACTTGGAAGAGACATTAAGAAAATTGAAAACAAATGCAAAGGAGTAATAAATTGCATGACTTCAATAGCTAAGTATGAATGGGGAGCAAGGAAAAGCCTTAATACGGCCTTGTATAGACTATGGGTGTGCAGTGTATGGTGCTGCAGCAAAATCAAAATTAAAGAAACTGGACAACATACAGTCCAGAGCACTTAGAATCTGCTGTGGAGCAATAAGATCAACTCCTCTAGATGCCATCAGGGTCAAAATGGGGGAGATGCCATTAGATTTAAGAAGAGAAAAGCTTGCGATGATGTATTGGGTTAATCTACAGGGTAGTAATAAGAGTCATCGTACACGCACAATTTTAAATGATTGTTGGGAATATAAAAAGAATGGAGGGAATAGTTTTGGTTGGAAGTATGAACAGTGGGCCAAGGATTGTGGTCTGGAGAATGAAGAAATCTGTCCCAACATGCCATTAAATGGGGTATCAGTATGGAATATTCCTGAACCCATTGTTGAAATGAGATTGTTGGAGGCCCGGGAAAAAGCAGAAGAAAGATATAATAATAGTTATGAAATCAATGTTTTTATGAGAGAAAATTGTTATTCTTTTATACAGATCTATACAGATGGATCTAAAGACCCAATCAAACAAAAAGTGGGCATAGGAGTGTACATTCCAAGATTTAAGACGAAAATAAGTTTAAGGTTAAGTGACAAATTGTCTGTATATTCTACAGAATTAACTGCTATAATAGTAGGATTGCAGAGGGTAGAACAGATTAAGCCAAATAGGACTCCGACTGTAATTTGCTCAGATTCTTCATCAGCTCTTAAAAGTATATTGTCGACAAAGACTGATAGAGAAGACCTGCTAGTAGAAATGTATACATTACTATACAGACTGAAAATAGAGGGTATAATCATATACTTTTGTTGGGTACCGGCACATATTGGGATAGTAGGGAATGAAACAGCGGATAAGTTAGCAAAAGAAGCTTTAAAGAAAAACTTGGTGGATGTTAAGGTACCTCTGGGAAGGAATGAGATAAAATCAGTAATTAATAATAAGAATATGGCAACAAAGATGGCAAAATAGCAGCACAGGTAGGTGGTATTATAATATTGTAAAATCAGTAGGGAAAAAAGAACAGTTTTATTGAAGACACAGAAAGGAAGAAGTTATGATTTCTAGATTAAGGATGGGTCACACAGGACTAAATTCAACTCTTGCATTAATGGGAAGCATGAAAATGGTATGTGTGATGAATGTGATGTTTTTGAAAGTAGAGCATGTGCTTTTTAAATGTTGTGAATATGAAGATCAGCGTAAAAGTCTTTTTAGCAATATAAGGAACAGACCAGTGAGTGTCGTGGACCTTTTGGGAAAGGGGTTGAGTGACAGTCAGATGTTTAAGGTGGCTTTAACATTTTTAGAGTTTACAGGATTAGACCACAGGATTTAGTGTTTGAGGATGAGGATCATGATGCTTCTGCCCATCTCGGAGGTTGAGGAGCACAGTGTGGAAGCTGGAGGAGCTGAACACGCAACGCCAGCTGAAGCTTGGGCTCTGATCCTCTGGGGTGGGTGGGGTATTACACATTTTTTATTTTTTTCCCCCTTCAGTACAGATTCATCATCCATGTGCGCAAGATATACAGTAGGTGGCGGTAATACTCCTAAGGAGTGAACGGCCATTGAACAAAAAGAAGAAGAAGACAGGACGGGCAGAGAGTTTGCAAACGGCCTCCATAGCCGTTTGTAATGTTTCACTATTAGCCGTCTCCATAGGCTGCCGTGTGTTTTGAGTTTGAGATAAATCTTTATCGTCTATATATAGCGTGGTTGCCGCTAATCTCGCTTACATTGCTAATACTCTATTCACACACATTACCATTGTTTTACTCACTGTTACTTGCTTTAATGGCGGATGTGTGTCTACCTTTGAGTGCAGGTGAGGACACGTTCAAGCTGCATTCGGTGCAGCTCGAGCTGGAGGCCGTGGAGAAGCAGATCCGCGACCTGGTGGAGAGGTAGACCCAGCTGATAGAGCGGAGAGCCACGCTGGAATCATCCCAGGCTGACGTTCACAAGTCCGAGTTAAGTATACAGCCCGCTGCTAACTCTCCCACCACCTCTACTCTGTGTGTTTCTCTGCACAGGCCCGGTGCACACAGGACGCGATCTTCCCAAATGTCCTTCACTCCGGCGTCGGGACACCACGGACCCTGGGCAGCAGGGACTGGCGCTCTCTCTGGCGCTCTCTCTGGCAGCACTTCCGGTGGCGTCCCCAGCGGCCACTGGCAGCTGCCAGAGTTCGTGGCAGCTGCCACGGTCTTTCTCGCCATTTCTGCTGTTTGCTCTGTAAAACTGTTCTCAGTGGCGTGCTGTGATGTTTTTTTTAAATGATGTTGCAAAGTTCCCACAATTGTATTATTATTATTATTATTATTATTATACATTTTTATGTATCAGTTGCCATTTCTTGCCAGGAGTCAAAGGCAGCTGCCATTGTTCGTGGCAGCTGCCACGGTCTTTCTCGCCGTTTCTGCTGTTTGCTCGGTAAAACTACACTGTTCTCAGTGGCGTGCGGTGGTGGTGTTTTTAAAATGATGATGCAAAGTTCCTACAATTGTATTATTATTATTATAAATTTTTATGTATCAGCTGCCAGAGTTCTTGCCAGGAGTCACGATTGTTTGTCGCCGTTTCTGCATTTTTGTTTGTAAATAAAATATTTGGTGACGCATATTATATACCAGCAAGCAGATACGATCAGAATGTGAACCCAATAAGCTAAATTGCATAAGCATTTTCCCATAAAGAACATAGACACATAAGGAGTGCCAGATGTCATGTCACTTAATGTTAAAACTGCTGCTGCCGCTAGCCAATACTGTATATATGCACAAACACAAACATGTCACGTAATGACAGGAGAAAACAAGGATAGATCCAAGTGCAGTTTATTAAAGTATAAAATAAACAGAACGGAACAGAAACGTGGCAAAAGGTAATCCAAAACACAGGGAACAGATAACACGATGTAACCTTAACAACATCAAACACAAACATCAGAATCGAATAAAACTGCAGCAAAGACAGACAGAGTGAGCATAGTATATGTAGTGATGGGATGATGAGTAAATGCAGGTGATCGTGATCATATTCACATTCACCCATCCAGCTCTGCAATTTGCATTGGGATGCAATTTGTTGATCCTTTTCCATTGAAAGGACAATGGGAAATTGTATTTTTCCATCTCAGTTTCTCTTGCTACACCAGTCAGCTGCAGTCCTGGCGTCTATCAGAAGAAGGATTTCCTGCAGTAAATAACAAATATGGTCAAATTATTTCATGTATACTGATGTTAATGCTTCAAACGTGAAGAGTACATAAAGCTGTTACAACATTTTTAAGAAATATATGATCTTTTGTTATAATGAATGCTGTCTATCAGTTCTTGTGTCATTTAAGACCTTAATGGATCTTAATCAAATCCAGTTCCTTCAGAATTAGTTCATTTAAAATGGCATCAGCTTGACATGGAAATCCCCTAATGTCATGACAGGAATTATGTATTTAGAGAATTTATACAAAGAGTAAGTATGAACACCCACAATGAAAAAAAATCCTCTACCTTTTCTTTCCTTCGAAAGATGTACACTTCAGAAGCACAGATTCGGCCATATATAGGCACATATTGACATTGGTTTGCAACCAATAAATCAGAACCTAAGAAATGTACAGTATTAATTTTAATGTGACAGACAGACAACTTTAACCACATTTAAGGTTTCAGTTTAATCTTTTCAATTAAGTTGCTACTTATACTGAAGTACTGCAGTTTGGAAGCCAACAATTAAAGAAGAAGTGTGAAGTCATGCTTCCATTTTATTGTACTTGGTATATAATCTCTGATTGTTGCTCCTCAAATTATATTGACACCCGTAGCTTTAGAGGCCTCAAAGCCATCACTTGCTTATCAATTTCTTTGCTTTAAATGAAATTCCTATTCTAATTGTTAATTTAGTACACATTTCTATAGCTCACCTCAGGCAAAATCACTTCTGTTAGAAACATCTGCTTCTCAGCTGCAGTTCCAGGCACAGATATGATTCGTTCCAGTCACTGTATTATGTCTTCTGTCTAGGGTAATATGCAAAGAAGAAAAACATCATCAATACAATGCTATGAGCCATGTTTTTTTCACCCAGCCCTCTAGAGAGATGGAAACTTTTTTCTTGCTGCTGTCATCAAGTGCTTGCTAATGAGGGAATGTTGGGTCTCTGCAGTTAATGTTGTAAAGCGCCCTTACATACATGTATAGAGTGGCAAGAGATAAGTCAGTTTGTGATTTGGTGCTATGTATGTATAATATATATATATATATATTATTACAAAAATTCTATAGTTAATTGAACTGCCCAATTTCCATTCATCACTTTTATTAATGTGAATAATGAATGTAAAATAACCTGCCAAAATATACATAACCTCAAAGCCGCAACTTCCGCAAGGATCATAATTTAAGATGAATGAATTTCTGATGTTTGTGTTGTACGGTTTCTGCCATCAGTCAAGGCAAGGGAGGGAGAGTCTCTTTGGGAAAAAAAACTGGATGAGAACGTTATCGATATTACAAAAATAAAACAACGCA